CAAAAATATCATATATTTTATCACACATGGATGCGTTCCATAAATTCATTTTCGATTTCTAAAGATATTTTAGTATTTTTGCGTGGTGTGATAGAAAACTATGAGGTGAGTTAAGAAATTCTCTTTCTTTTATTTTCAAATATTATTACTAAATTAAAGGATTGATTCAAACAATAAAACAAACGGTACTTTGTACGTCATAAAGTTAATTTTTTTCTCTTTCACATTCTGATTTTAAGAGGAAATAGGTCTTAGTAATTCAGAGTTCGTGCTATAGAGACACGTACATTGACCAAATATTATTTCTGCGAGAAATCGAATTCGATATTTCATAAATGTTGTTATAAAGTTAATATTACATATAAGCAATGTTGTCTCTCTCCCACTAGCTTTTACTACCCATCACGATTTGCGCGCTTCCTCTTTCAAACAATTTACATCCAACGGTTCAGATTTCGGTCTTTCTTTGACCCTTGTAACAAGCTCGATAATCCAACCACTATATAACCACTTCACCCTTCTCTTCCTTCTCTCTCGCATCATCCCATTTCTCATTCTTCTTCTTCCTCGCCCCATTTCAGTTTCCTCTCACTTTTTGCGATCTCTCTTTGAAACAACACAATGTCCGCCGAGAAAGAGAGAGAAACCCAAGTTTACATGGCCAAGCTTTCCGAACAGGCTGAGAGATACGAAGGTATGCTTTTTATTTTGTCGTTTTTAATTAGGTTTGTGTTTTTTATGATGACATTGTTCTAGATCTGTATGTTGTGTTTTGGTATGTCGGTTTTGTTTGAATGAGTTTGAAATGTGTGTTGAGATTCAAAAGATTTGATTTTTAGATTTGGGTATTTATCATTGTTTATGGATCAGTTAGTTTCTAGATTTTTAGATTTGTGTATGTACTAGTATCATTGATTTGGATTAGTTTAAATTTTACTTATAGTTGTTTGTTGTTGTGTCATTGTGTTGGTTTTTGGTGTTACTTGTTTGATTTGATGCTTAGATATGGAACAAAATTGGATCTTTTAAATAGAGTGATTTGGTAAAAGGAGTAATCTCACATGTTGGTAAGGAATTTAATAGTTGATGTAATTGATGACATAATGCACGGTGACTGGGAGTAAATTCATGTTGGAAACTGTTTATAATTTCCAATCAATATTGTCGACCCTTTTGAAAAATTGTTTTCATGCAGAGATGGTTGAATGTATGAAGAAAGTTGCGAAACTTGATGTTGAACTAACGGTGGAAGAGAGGAACCTCCTTTCAGTGGGATATAAAAATGTCATTGGTGCACGAAGAGCCTCATGGCGTATTATGTCATCGATTGAGCAGAAGGAAGAGTCTAAGGGTAATGAGCACAATGTTAAACTGATCAAGAGTTACTGCCAAAAGGTTGAGGAGGAACTCTCCAAAATCTGTGGTGACATTCTGACTATTATAGATCAGCACTTGGTTCCTTCTTCCACCTCAGCTGAAGCTAATGTTTTCTATCATAAGATGTGAGTTGTGTTGCTACACTGCTTCTGTACTACTTGATTGATTGATTCAAATCCTCTCTTATTTTCTTCCTTTTAGTAGACATTTTAGTCTTTTTGGATTTAAAGATATCATAGATCTGACAACATAGAATAACATAGAGTCTGTATGACTGTGTTTTGTTACCGTGGCTTGCATATTTGTTATCAACATGATGGTTAAGTATCATTTTTCTTCTTTAGTTTCGGCTCTACAATATCTTATAAATGACTTACTGGATTTGTGAGTTTATTTTCTGTTGAAGATTTAGGGTTTGAGATAGTCTATGAATTGTTATTAGTTATATATTATAGGTTGATACAATTGATGATATGATATGATACAAAAGAACTAGCCCTTTTTACTTTGCTTCTTATTATAATTAAATAGTGAAGAAATCATGATAACTAATAAATATGAAAACTGACTCAGAAGATAATTTAAGATAGTCTAAGATAATATTGAGATATTATAGCATAATCTTATACTCTTCAACATAATCTGCTCATTCTTATGTGATATCGTATGGCATCTCTTACTGGCTCACACATATTTTGGCTCTCCACCCCTGATTTCCTTATGCTTCTTTTAATGCAGGAAAGGTGATTATTTCCGGTATCTTGCTGAGTTCAAGACTGACCAAGAAAGGAAAGAGGCCGCTGAGCAGTCACTTAAAGGATATGAGGTGTGTTTGATCTCTTGTATTTCAGTACTAAGCGGGTTGAACGATAAACTATTTCTGATATTATTTATATATTGTGTTTTTGCTTGATTATCTCAATTGTTTTGGTTATTAGGCTGCTTCAGCCACTGCAAACACTGATCTTCCATCAACACATCCAATTCGTCTTGGACTTGCACTCAACTTCTCTGTCTTTTATTATGAGATTATGAACTCTCCTGAAAGGTAAGTAACTGGTTTTCATCATTTCTCATACTATGTCAATTACGTTTGTTTCTAGCTCTTGTCTAAATGTCATTACTGAAACTTACAGGGCTTGCCATTTGGCCAAACAAGCTTTTGATGAAGCGATTGCAGAGTTGGATACCTTGAGTGAAGAGTCATACAAGGACAGCACTTTGATCATGCAGTTGTTGAGAGACAACCTGACTCTGTGGACCTCCGATTTGCCCGAGGATGGAGGTAAGGGATAATGACTAGCACTTGATTTTAATATGCATCTGAGATTTTCCAGAGTAAGTCAGTGAATATCAGACAGACTGTATGCTGCTAAATGATGATGTCTAATACACTGGAGTGGTTGATGTACAACTTGTACATATCACTTGGTGGTGGATCTAGAAATTGAGATGTGGACACAATATACATTTATATAATAGGTTAAAGGTGAGCGAGGGCAATACTCAGTTTATTTATCCAGGATTATTGGTAAATTATCGGTAGATATATTGGAGACAAATGCTCCCCATTGTCCACCAAGTTGATTCATCCAAAATCACTGTAATAGTTTATCATCCACTCAATATGTCTTGTTACCCAACCTTGTTAGAAAATTAGATTAGGATGCATGAGTGTTGTCAAATAGTAGATGTATCGGTGTTACAAGCTATAGTGTAGTGAAATTATATTGCTATTGTTTCGTGATATATGATTTAGTACAAAATGTTGTCAAATAGTGGCTAGTATTGCTATAGTACTGTTGCGTAGCAGAATTTAAGTAAATTATTATTTTCTGCTATCTGTGATTGAAAACATGATGAATGGAAAGTAAGAAACTACCTGCTCTTGGATAAACTATCCTGGAAACCAAAGTCGTATGATTTCAAGAGTGGGTCAAGTGAATCACTCCTAGTTAACTGTACACTTAGAACTAAACCTACTATAAAGAGGCTCTAAAAATTAATGCTCTCCTGCAGGTGAGGACAGCATAAAAGCTGAAGAAGCCAAACCCACTGAGCCTGAGGTATTTGTAAGATAAGTTTTGGTTATATTTACAATTTTTGTTGTTTTGAGCAAATTAGTTAGTTATAGAGCTATAGCAGTATATTGTTAATGATGTAGAAAAGAAATTCTTGCAAGCAAAAGAATAGGGTATATACATAGTTTCTAAAGTCACTGTTTCAAAGCACCCATTAATTTCTACTCCCAGAATTTGACATTTTTATATTTTTGCAGCATTGAGAAGATTTCTTTGGATCTCTGGCCCTGATTCTGAAGTGAGGAATCTAAGATACTCAACAAATAGGGCATTTTTAAGCTTTCTTTTGCTATGGATTTTGACTAGACAAGGTGGACTTTGTCCTCTCCATAACTCTTTGTGCCCTCTTTATTTATCCAACCGAAGCCGGAAGATCTGCGACTGTCTTTGTGTTGCTTTATTTTTCCTTCAAACTTTTTTCTTTCTACCGCCTTATCTGTTTTTAAGTAAAGTAATTAGTTGAAGCAATTGACAATTCTCATCTATCTTATAAGCATATGTTTCTGTGTTCATTTAGTTCAAGTTGGTTCTTATAAGCATATGTTTTGGTTTTCTTGGGTGTTTTACTGAATGGTTTAATTTGAACTTGAGATCCCTGATCTAGTTGAGTAAAAGAAAATGTTTTATCAAAACACTAGAAGTCATGTATGGAAAATACAACTTCAATCATATTAGTAGTAAAATATGATTTAATCACACAATTTGTTTGAGGGAAGTGCAACTCGAGCGGAAAAAGAAAGGTTAAATTTCGAAGTCATATTATACTAGATTATTATGTTAGATACGTTTTCTTTTGCATCAAGTTTATAATTTTGAGGTTTATAAAATTTTGAGGTATATATTCACCATAAACGGAAAATCTAATTTACACTTTTGGCAAAGACTAGAATCATACTATAAATTGTAATCATAAAAAAGTAAGTATAAACTTTGGAGATATAGCTTCTTGGGATGATTATGCATAAATGCGTGAATGCATAAATGCGTGAAAGCATAAATGGTTAAAATCTGTTGAGTTTTATTAACAAGAGAATCTATTAAGAGGCTCTAATCAAATTAAGAACAATATTTTTAGTTTTAAAAATCTGATAACAACAAATTGATAGCAGCAATAATAGTGCACACAACGTCATGCTTTGTAATAGGTTAAACATAAGAACATTCTGTTTATTTTTCTAATCAATACTATATCATATATAATCGTGCTTGCAAGTGTAAAATGGAATGACAAACTAAATTCGGATAAATGGTCAAAATCTATTGAGTTTTATTAACAAGAAAATTTATTAAGAGGCTCTAATCAAATTAATAACAATATTTTTAGTTTTAAAAATCTGATAATAACAAATTGATAGCAGCAATAATAGTGCACACAACGCCATATCATGGTAATCAGTTAACATCAGAATTCAGAACATTCTTATTCTTTACTAATCAATACTGTATCATATAATCGTGCTTGCCAGTGTAAAATGGAATGACAACTAAATTCGGAATCTAAAATTAAAATGTCAAGAAAAAAAGTAGTATTGAATTTATCACCTAATGAAATGCAGAGAAGTGAGAATGTTCTGCAGGGTTGTAAGCACGATCGTGATGATGATGATGATTTTTGTGATGATGATGATCAAACTTAGACGAAGAAGATTCTGCATGCTGAACAGATTCTTCTGTAATCGTAGTATCCAAAAGAATATCTCCGATTCCATGAACAACAAGCCAATCACTGTTATACAGATCAGGGAAAATCACTGGAACTCCATTATTAAGCAAAAACAAGTCACTACTAGCAAGAGATTTAGTAACATTCAATATGAATCCTCTCTGATAAGTCCCGATCAACGTTCCTTCCTCCAACGTTACCAAATGGCTCCACATGATCTTACAAGGCACAAGGTGACGGCGAAGGATATCGGAATATTCGGTTACGTTTCCGATGTGGCTCGCCATAGCTTCATCCATCGGCGCAAACAGTGTTATCTGATCTGGACGTTCTTTAAGACCTATAAACTGCATATCAAGAAACGACGCCATAATAGAGGATCCTCTTGATCTCAAAGCACTGCTAGCTTCCGTGAAAGAAAATGTCGACGAATCGGAGATTAACCGCTTAGATCCGAAACCGAAATCGTCTCTGTTCTTTCCGGCACTCTTTCTTGCTGGAAAACAAGCGCTGGAAGAAGGACGAGGAAGCTGGAAATAAGGATCGAAGAAGGTTTCGGTTTGAAAAATAACGAGAGAACCGTCAGAGAGTAAAGGCCTTGGATTAACGGTGACGTTGTTGATGGAGAGTCTACGGTTTGAGGTTGTGACGGTGAGGAAGTGACCGGGAAGGAGAGTGGCGATGTTGGCGCCGTAAGGGAGAGATCTGAGGCTATGGAGAGAGAAAGCGTGAGGGAGGAGATGGTAACGGAGGAGAGAGAGAGGAAGCTGAGGGATCTGGTTGAAGGCAAAATTCGTCGGAGCAAAAACGGTTAAGGAGTGAGATTGGCGGCGAGCGAGGAGAGTATGGGAAGCGAGTTCGAGGTTGAGTGCCATGGCTTCGAAACCAGAGGTAGTGAGGATTTCGGCGGCGTCGAGAATGGTGGAGGAAGGGTAGGAGGAGGAGTGGGAGATGAGGAGAGAGAATGTTAACAGTGTGATGGTGAAGGTGGTGGTGGTGGTGGAAGCCATTGTTGATCTGAAAATGAAGTTAGTTTCTGCTGTTAGTTACATAATAGTAGCTTTGGTTTCGTTTTGGTTTTGGCGGGAAAAGTTTGACACGTGGAGGATTTTTATTTGTTGTGAGAGAGGAGGCTGTTGTGATATTGTTGGTGGAAGATGGTAAAACGGTTATTATGTTCCGTTGATGAGCTAAAGAGGGAAATTGATTGCTTCATAAAGTTCATGTGAATTTAGAAAATTTTAATACATTTTTTTTTATACGAGAGAAAGAAATAAATAAATTTGATCCTTTTTTAATAGATATCTGCCATAAAATTTAAATTTGAATTTAAATTAGATTTTGTTTATGAAGTACAAGTATTCAAAGTTCAAACAAATTCAAAGTGAATGTATAAAGATTTAAATAAGTATATTTAAACACTTTGCTCTTATAGGCTATGTCTTAAAGGAATGGTGGACACAATGTTTCTTTTTATTTAATCACTATGTTTTTATAAATTTCGTGCTTGAGATGAGATATTGTGTAATGTTTGGATGTATTATTTAAGAATTTCGATCTTATACACCACGTATTTGAGGAATTGTGAATCGGTATATTTTTAAACGATTCAAGTATAATCGGTATCAGTTGACCTCGACCCTTTAGTGTTAGAACTGTCTAAGCATGTGAGCGAACTCAGAAGATCAACCTAGCTTTGCAGACTCAACCACAACTCATATAATGGTTTCGATAATATATCCCACACTATCAAACATGAAGATAAGACCATGAATAACCATAAAGATCATGCTTATACAACAAGACAGGTTGTTAATAGTTATACAATTATGCTTAGACGAGAAAATAACCTAACATAATGTCCAATACCATTAAAGTAGAGTTGAAGTTCATCCATTTTCAAATTAGTCATTTTATCGAATTATAAATTATTTATGAATTATTGTGAGTTATATGTGTTGTTGTGTATTTTGAATTATTGATGGGTTGGGTTAATTAAAATGAGTAGTTGGTCAAGAAATTAGTAGAATTATTTAGAACTATTTTTAGTGATTAAATAATAAGAGTATTTATTTAATTAGCTCAATATATTGAAATATTAAAATAATAATGAAAATAAGATGTCTAGATGAATTAAGGGTAAACTGGTAAATTATGAGGATAAGTTGGGGGTAATAAAGAGAAAACATAATCAGGGAGAATATATTATTATAAAAAGAAGAAGAGTAGGAAGAGGAGTCAGTTTTACAGAGCACGTGAAAAGTTGAAAGAGAGAAAAGAAAATCCAGGGCAAGAGGAAGGAGAAGAATCACTTATGAGAAATTAAGGATTCTTTCATCTTTGCTGGAATAATCAAGTAAATGGGATATTATTCATATATGGGTGCCAAATCATGAAAGGATAGATGGAGGAACCCTTAATCTCATTAGGATCGAGTATTTTGACTTCTAATTCTGAATTATGATAATTGATTGTTGTGTATGATGATTTTCATGTGCCTTGATTATACATATTTTCTGCTTTGATGAATAATTATTATTGAGTCATTGATGAATTTTTGGAAGGTTTTATGAAGTTGTAAAGTTATGAAATAGATGATTTTATTGATGTTAACCGATGATATATTTTGAAATATTTGTTCTAATCATTAGATAATTGTAGTACATCAAATTCTGAGCATTTGAATTTTTACAGAATCAAAATCAGAGGTCCGGAAGGCCTCTAATGATGAAAAGCGCATTTTATCTCGTTTTTAAGTTCATGGCAGTCGCCATTCGGCCATGAGGGACGCCATGGCATGGTGGTGGCGGGCGTCATCATGGTCTTCGCGACCAGGAAGATTTGGGTTCAAATACGATTTTCATCATAACTTTTAACTGTGTATCCAAATGACGCCACATTTGAAGCGTTATAAACTAACACATAGAGTTATAACATGATAGAGATAGGTGAATTATTTGAGTATTATCCCTATATATGATATGTTTGTGAAGTTGATTGTTCATACGTTCAGTTAATGAATTATTGCAATTGTTGTGATAATGTTGATGTGATAATGAGATGAATTATTATATACTTAATGATAACATGTTGAGTTAAGATATGTGGTTTAAATGTGGAAACTACCATGTGGTTGTTGTACATGAATCATACGGTTCAATGTGATACTGTTAATTGTTGTTGAATTATTATGATGATGCATTCATTCATTCATGCATCCCATATTGTTGTTGTTTAAAGAGGCAAGTTAGGAGTCTCGGTGAGGGGACTTGTGATTTTCCCAGGCTCGGTGTGAGGCTCATGGGTTCGACAGATGGAACCATCGTTGAGTCGGTATCGCATGCATACAAGTTAGTAATGTGTTGTGAGTTACATTGCATGAATAGATGCATATGATGGTGATTGTGAGTGAGTCCTGAAGGCTTGTGGATATGGTACATGTTCTTGCGTAGGAACAATATTTGGTTGACTTCCTTATAGGAATAAGGAGAGCCTCAAAGGTATATTACTGTCTTATATGTAGGGATTAGGGAGCTACGTCGATAATGCGTATTGCCCAAGAATGTATGTCTTGCTTATCCCTCTGGCGGGAACCCCTTATATAGTATTCCTTTTTGTGCCATCAAGAGCCTCAGTTAATGTGTGACTCTTGAATTTCATAACTACATAACTTTCGCGGTCTCCATGAATGAAGGTGTTTAAATCTATATAACATTGAATTAAATGCGCCGGCGGAGGTTACAACCATTAATGAGTCGAGTTGATGGCCGGTTATGAGCAGGCGGGTCTCAGCCACTAGCCTTATCCGGGTCTACGGAATATATGGGTGTTGAAGCAGTAAAGAGACAAGAAAAAGTAAGTATTTTTTATAGGTTATATCATATCGTCTCCATAGGGATTACTTCTATTGAATTGTCATTCGAAAATTTCTCGCGTTTATGAGTTTGAAGTTGAATTGGGTTGGTTTGTATAAAAGGTAAGTGCGGGAATCAAACTTATGAACATAAAAATAATTTCATTCTTTGGAAAGGAGATAACTCTCCATATTGAATTTCACATACTCATTAAATACTTAAACTAATCACTCAATCGCATTCAACCTCAATCACTCGTCAAAATCATCACGTACCACTCACACAGAGGTTATGTTTAACACAAAGTGAGAAAATAACCATTTTGCTCTTCGTCGACGATGTCTCGCGCAACTAAAATAACAGAGGCATTAAGAGTCGATATACACATGATTATTAAGTCTTAATCTATCTCTAGAGTTAAAACCCAATAGATGTAAATTTGAATCTAAGGAGTATATGTCTATAGCAACTCAAATTCAAATAAAGCAAGCAATCACCAATGATGATTTATAAAGAAAGAATCATACAACACCATGAGTAATCAATATACATACAAAACAAAGCATACTTACAAATAAAACCCAACACTAGAATATTTCAAAGATAAGACATAAGGAGAAAACCCAATCTTTCACGGTGTCAAATACGATCAACCAAGCTCCCAACCCCGAATCATCTGATTACAAGCCACAAATGTTATTTTCTAAGCTCTAACCTAAGAAAAATGAAGGTGGTGAATTTGGGAACAAATACCCCAAAAAATAACCCTAAAAATATGTTTAGAATTATATTTATACACTTTTAAAAACCCGCAGACCGGGCTTAGCGCCCTTAAAGCGCGCTTAGCGCGCTCACTGCTGTTCCGAAAAAATTAGCTTTGTATTTTTGCCATAACTTGAGAACCGTAACTCCGATTTGCACACTGTCAGAAGTGTTGTAAAGCTTATTCAATATAATATCTAAAAATTACTAAATATCAACCAAATTTATAATTTCTATCATATGTGTTTTGAGCCTTATTTTTTGATGAATTGCTCAAAATCGCGCGTTTGAAGCTGTGTCTTCGATAGTTTATTGCTCATGCTCCAAATACGCATCAATACCTACAAAATGAATAGAAAATTAACAAACGGTATGTAAATACACAAAAACTCGATTATACACTAAATATACATATTTATACAAAAAGCGGGGGATTTATTCAAAGAATATAATACAAATGAATTGATAAGTGCTACGAAACTACTACTAAAAACACGACTTTTTGGCATTGATCACTCTAACTTACATAATTGTTAGTCCTCAAACAAAGGTCAAACACCTAAAGAAAAAAACTACATCTAATAAATCACACAACAACAAGTTTTGAAAACAGAAAACAAATGCAATGGTTCAATCGAAAATGGTACACACAAAGAAACATATTTACCATTGAATTACGACAATATAATCACGAAACAAAATCTAAGTACAAAATTCATGCCAAACTTTCTTAAACGACACAAGTTCACTCATGAATTACACCTAGCATAAACAATCATCGGTAGATGAAAAACTCACAAAATGAGAGATTTTTCACTCACACAATAATCTTGCAAACAAAAGACTAAATTATGCAATCATCTAAAAACTCATATTGACAACATAAAAGAAAAAATCACAAAGGTTTTTCAAGGTTGTAATGTGGTTGGATAAACAAACAACGGGCAATTTATAAATCTAATCGAAACAAAAACTTGTCTAAACCTAAGGGAGTGATCAACTCACAAAATTTCAAGCACAAAATTCCAATCAACTTTTTCACATTCGCAAATTGTAAAACCAAAACACCATACTTATTTGCATAATTATTTGAAATTTTTTTGTTTTTCTTTTTCAAAGCTTTTTCATTTTTTTATTTCTTTTTCTTTTCTTTTCTTTTTCACATTTTTCTTTTCTTTTCTTTTTCACATTTTTCTTTTCTTTTCTCAACCTCATAGCAATCAACCAATAAGTGAATAATTATCCTCTCCCCAACTTGAATTCAACCACATCATCATGTGAATACTCCCTACTTTCTAAGGCAATGTAAGAATTCATACAACAACACAAAGTTGAGGGTTCAAGAAAAAACAACAATCAAAATCCATACAAAAAGTTAATTTGATACTCATAGA